TTCAGTCCGGAAAGGTTTCAGCAAGGCATGATATCTTTCCACCGCTATCAATGTAAGAGTTGTGAAGGACACTGTTATGCATATTAGAACGAGGGCGAATGACTTGCAAGCGAATTTCTCAAAGTTGTTATTTACACTTCCAAGTTGATACTGGACGACTTCGTATAATGGAAACAAGATAACGCTGACGACATCGCTAACGGCCATGTTAGCTAGAAGATAATTTGTAGGTGTGTGCATTTCACGTGTTTTATGCACGATGTGTATAACCAAGACATTTCCAATAAATCCAGTTATGAAAAATGGGATGGAAGACAAAAACAGAAAAAAAGGTAGTCCATTTGGTTTTATCATGATTGACCCTGCCTGGGATTGTTAATAGAACTCTAGGATCATCCAACCTTTAATACAAGCTGCTAAGTCAGAATTGCGGCGAAATATCTAATTCCAAATTTAATTGGACACTGTTTAAGTAAAAGTCAACATGTACACGTGGCATTAAATAATTTTTACTGAAACGGTCGTTGGACAAAATAAGGCCCGTTTCAAACGTCGTGCTACTGCCGTGCCGACCTCAATTGATCGAGTTAAAGTCGATTTTAGCACGGCAGTAGCGCGACGTTTGAAACCAATTCGTGCTACTGCCGTGTAGCAGGGCAAACCTTCCCTTGCCTACCGCCGTGCCGAACTCAGTTCATAAATTATAAATACAATAGAATACATTTAAAAGTTTGCTAGACCGTTCCTTTATTTTCGTGTTTTGTTTTCGACAAGAGCCGTCCTATTCGACTGAATTAAATTCGACGTCTGAAACCAAGTCGTGCTAGTGTCTTGCTGCAGTCGAGCCACAGTCGAGCCAGCTTAACACGGCAGTAACACGACGTTTGAAACAGGCCTAACCTTTGGCGTTATTTCATGGACGTCAGAATCACAATAATTATAATCAAAAAAGCTGTGCATTCAGTTTACTTTTCTTGCGTTAGCTCAGTTATTTCTTTCTTTTCATTCTCCTTTATCATTTATGACTGTGTTTTCAGTATCTTATCTGATTGTGGGTGTAGTCATTAGTGGCTGTTCTCATAATAATAATAATAATAATAATAATAATAATAAAAATAATAATAATAATACTGGTTTATTAACAGCATTTCCATAAAAAAAATAGCTGCACATCTGCTAATAAGATATAAAATATATGGTATATATATTCAGCTAGAAAAAGACAAAAAAACTATATTTGGAACCATTAAATTACTACCCTTTTCTTCGCTGTTTTATAATGTTGAAGGTCTGTTTGGAAAAAAAACAAAAATTTGTACAAGATTTGATTGGAGGAGGTAGGGAGTTGAGAATTTTGGACGCACTGTCCTGGAAAGTATGCGTTTCCAGCGGTATTACTAGGTTTATTGTCTCACTAGAGCTAACTCTCGTTTGAGAGTTCAGGGGCACCCAAGGGGAAATTTTGAGAAAAAGATCTAAAAACATCAATAAAACATGAATAAAGCTTTCTGAAGCCATTTTAAGCATTTTGGGAGATTGCTGGGAAAAATTTATCCGTTTATCCTCACTCCCAGCAAGACTGATGGAAGAGTTCCCAGCCAGCAAGGTGCACCTACAACCTGCAACCTGACTTACTAGGAAGTCTCCTGCAGACGTATACCCAGACATTATAGCCAGTTTGGGTGTGGTCATACGCTAGAAAATCAGCCCTTCGGTGGTTACTGACAAATAGTACATACCATCTATACGAGGCACCAAAAGAACCAAATCCCCTCAGACACCCTGAATTGTCTATTTCCCAGCAGCGCTTTCACTTTCCTTCCAAGGACAAATTATTTTTTCCAAATCTTTGCGTAAAGAACGGATATTTTGAGGAACAGACTCATTGGGTGCCTCTATCTGAGAGTTAAAGTTTTTCTCTGTCTAAAGGTCAGATTAGACTCGCGGCAGGAGCCAAATTGAGCTTTAAGAAAAACGGTTTACTGATGGAAATGAAAATTGATGCTAGAACTACAAACCTCGCTGCCGAGTAACCCTTATATAGTCACTGTCCAGTATCTCATCAGCATGAAAAAAAGAGTTACTCTGTAGCAGCTAACGCCAGACTGATCTCCGAATTTTTCCTTAAAGAATTTATGAAGAGAATTTGACAAAAGATCAAAGCATTTTCCCCTCGATGATCATTTTATTAACTCTCACAACCTTTTCTCTTGATTATGTATGGAGATTGTTAGGAGAAAATTGACGCTGGTCACTCTTAAGACTTAAAGTAGCCTGCGAGCAAGCTCTCCTATTTCGGCGAGCGAAGCGAGTCTCGCGAGACTCGCTTCGCTCGCCCAAATACGAGAGCTTGCTAGCAGGCTAGACTTAAAGGGTTAATAGTCACTGTCAAGTATCTTCTCCCGACATACATAAAGAAATGAGGTCTGCAACGAGCTTTCAGTAAATAACAAATAATAAGGCTGAAATAAATTGAGTATTTTATCGGCACATATATTCATATTTAAAATTGCGTCTCACTATTACCTCACAGATGCCGGAAAATAAGTTGAAATGACCATACATTTACCATAAAAACTTATAATGGGTCTGATTAATGCAAAGAAAACTGTGGCAGAATTAACCATTGTTGAAACAGTATCAAGCCTATCTTGTTGTGTTGTTTAGTACAACAGGCTGACGTTGACACATAATAGTCAATGTTCTTAATCAATATGTTAAGAAATCATAAACAGGCAAAAAGAAGCACCTGCCTATACTATTGATTATATTGAGCCTTTTTGAAAGAAATTTAAATATAAAGTGCAAAACGGTTTGCCGGCAGGGAGAAAAGAAAATATAAAAGTCAAATGGAGTGTTCTTTGTATGACTGAGTTTGTCATGAATGCCCGGGGGGTACTCTCTATCATGGCCTATAGGGGGAGGTTCCCCGCAAAAGGGGTAAGGATTTCACTGATTTAGAAGTCAGTAATCGGCTCCTGTTAAAGTATATAAAGGGTAGGAAAATCTCTCTTTCCTTCTGTAAAAGGAGCTAAAAGGGCTAATAGAAGAAATGTGACTGTGAAAAAGTCGGAAAATTTTTTTTCCGGTCAAAAATCTGCGTTACAACATTCACTGTTTTGACGTTATGCTAATTTTTCCAAAATAATGCGCACTATGCATACCTTCATGACTAGTACATTTTAGTTTGAATTTATCGCATCTTTTGAATGCAAAACATTGACAATACTCACACTGAAATGCACTAGTCATGGATATAGGTATTGTCCGCATTAATCTGGAAAAATTAGCATAACGTCAAAACAGTGAAAGCTGTAGCGCGGATTTTTGACCGGTTCGTAGGATAGGTTTGTCTTGAAATTTCAAGGTGTTGCAGTAAATCAATCTCAATGAAAGTTTCAGACATTATTTATACATTATAAAGATTATGTGAAGAGATTTTAACAAAATTCGTTCGAGTCGTTTCAGAGATGTACAAAAAAGTGCTAAATGTCCAAATTTTGAATGAAGTTGCACTTAGACAGGTGGTGAGAAAACGGGTTTGTTTTTAAGATCGCAAGAACGAAAATACACCAAAATTTCCTAGCATCGAAATATGATATTAAGCACAGTTCTGACGCTACTTAAGAATAATTTGAGTCATTTATAACGTTTTTTTAAAATAATCTATCACGGCTATTGAAAATTTAAGGTCTGAAATATATTTTCGTTTTAGTCGAATTCAAACATACATAGTTTTTTACTTCTTACGGAGGTTATTTGCTAAACACCAAACTTTAAGTTCCTAGTGTTGGATTTTCAATAGCAGGTCTAGATCGCGCAACATAAGGCGTTTATCAATTTCAAAGTTTTTTGTTTATTGTTGTCATAGTAATATCGATTTTATTAAAACCAACATTTTGACAAATTTCAATCTATAGTCAATCGTCGGTAAAAATTTGATAGCGATCAGACAAGGAGAAAATCACTTTTCAAGCGATTGAAAAATACCGGTATGGCCTCTGAAAAACTATATCGAAACACCTTAATAATGTTTTTTTTTCTAGCTGTATATATATACTATATATTTTATATTTTATTAGCAGATGTATACAGCCATTTTTTTTATGGAAATGCTGATAATAAACCAGTATTATTATTATTATTATTATTATTATTATTATTGTTATTATTATTATAAGAACAGCCTCTAATGACTACACCAGCAAAATCCGATAAGATACTGAAAACACAGTCATAAATGATAAAGGAGAATAAAAAGAAAGAAATAACTGAACTAACGCAAGAAAAGTAAACTGAATGCACAGCTTTTTTTATTATAATTATTGTGATTCTGGCGTCCATGAAATAACGCCAAAGGTTAGGCCTGTTTCAAACGTTGCGTTACTGCCGTGTTAAGCTGGCTCGACTGTGGCTCGACTGCAGCAAGACACTAGCACGACTTGGTTTCAGACGTCGAATTTAATTCAGTCGAATAGAACGGCTTTTGTCGAAAACAAAACACAAAAATAAAGAAACGGTCTAGCAAACTTTTAAATGTATTCTAATGTATTTATAATTTATGAATTGAGTTCGGCACGGCGGTAGCACGACGTTTGAAACCAAGTCGAGCTACTGCCGTGTAGCACGGCAAGGCTTGCGCCATGCAACACGGCAGTAGCACGAATTGGTTTTAAACGTCGCGCTACTGCCGTGCTAAAGTCGAATTTAATTCGATCAACTGAGTTCGGCACGGCAGTAGCACAACGTTTGAAACGGGCCTTATTTTGTCCAACGACCGTTTCAGTAAAAATTATTTAATGCCAGGTGTACCTGTTGACTATAACTTAAACAGTGTCCAATTAAATTTGGAAGACGAATTGGATATTTCGCCGCTATTCTGACTTGACAGCTTGTATTAAAGGTTGGATGATCCTAGCGACGGACTACCAAAAGCAAATTTGGAAGAGTTCTATTAACAATCCCAGGCTTCCGTAGTCGGCTTCCGTACAGAGTCAATCATGATAAAACCAAATGGACTACATTTTTTTCTATTTTTGTCTTCCATCCCATTTTTCATAACTGGATTTATAGGAAATGTCTTGGTTATACACATCGTGCATAAAACACGTGAAATGCACACAACTACAAATTATCTTCTAGCTAACATGGCCGTTAGCGATGTCGTCAGTGTTATCTTGCTTCCATTATACGATGTCGTCCAGTATCAACTTGGAAGTGTAAATAACAACTTAGAGAAATTCACTTGCAAATCAGTCGCCCTCGTTCAAATATGTATAATAGTGTCCTGCACAACTCTTACATTGATAGCGGTGGAAAGATATCATGCCTTGCTGAAACCTTTCCGAACTGAATTGCGATTAAGCGACGACAACGTAAAGAAGGCCATTGCTATTATTTGGATCATAAGTGTTCTTTTGTCGTTACCTTCCTTCTTCTTAAATAAATGGAGCGTCGAAGAAGATGCAGTTGAGGCCCTCCCATGCGTTGGTCCGTGGACTTTACGCATGAATCAAGCAAGCAAAATATATTTGATCGTACACGCGTCAATTTTCTTTATTCAACTGACAACCATGTGTTACTGCTATGCATCTCTTATCAAGGGACTTTATTTTACCAACACAGTGTGTCCAGAAGAAACGGAAGGAGAAAGAGGTTCAGAGAGGAAGAAACTCGTTTTGACATTTCTCTTAGCAACCACGGGATTTTTGATCGGTTATGCCCCTGGAGTTTTGTTCTACACATTCGTCGCATCACGGGATGTTCAACAGGAAGACTTATTATTGTACTCTGTTCTTAGAGCTGTGCTATCCTTTTTGTTAGAGTGTAGTTTATGTCTAAACCCAATTTTCTACGCCTTTCGCAGTGCGCACTTTAAGCAAGGTTTTAAACGGCTTCTGAAATGCCAAGAGTCTACATCACAGAATGAGATTCAGCTTGGAGCATAACATTCTCTTTGTTATTACAGGTCACGGAGATCAACGCTAACATAATTGCTAGCTGAGGACTTTTTTGTACACAAACATGGCCGCCGTGACGTCATGCGAAAACGATTTATTGGTGGCCAATTAATTAACAGCATGATCCAATGGGTCTATTTGAATTATCTTAGCGATAATGTAAACTACGTCAATTTTCGCTTGTCTACTAACTCATATGCGTGCAATGAATATTATAACTAACAAAACCGATAACTCTTGTCACAATTTCTTTGAACAAATTTCGAAACTCTATTTTAAAAAAAAAACAAAAAAAACCCAGAAAAACTTGAAGCATTAATTATGGTCGAAACCGATAGCCTAAGTTTTATCTTGTCTTGCTGTTCCATACCATTTTACATCATTGGACTCATCGGCAATGTGTTGGTCATTCACTTTCTCTCAGGATGTGTTGGTCAAGGGGATTCAAATATCAATCTAGCGAGGAAGATTCACTTGATTGTATTTGACGCTCTTTTTTTGATACAATCGGTAGTCATGGTATTTTGCTATGGTTCCTTGATCAGAGGTCTCTACTTCACCAACGCAGAATGCCAAGAAACTGAAACCACTGATGGCGAGAGAAGATCGGAGAAGAAGAAACTTGTTATCACATTCCCTCTAGCGACTGTCGGGTTTTTGATCGGTTATGTACATTCCATGGCCTTCTATACAGTTGTTACATTTCAAACCAACGCGAATATAGATATCAACCTGTACTCTGATCTCGAGAATGGGTTTCAGTTTTTGTTTGGCTACAGTCTATGTTTAAATCCACTCGTTTACGCTTTTCGAAGTGCCCATTTTAAAGAGGGATTCAGACGCGTTCTAACAACTTGTTGGAAAGCCAACTCCACAGGATGACAACTTTCAGTGTTTCAGATACTTTTTTCTTTTCAAGTCCCAACATGAAGTCGAAGAAAAGCTGAGGTCCGAGAACTTTGCAGCAACACAAACAATAGGATTTGATAATGCTGAATAAAATGCAAATGATCATGATGCCGATTTTTCTGCTTGTTCCTGTTGTTATTTGTGTATAATCATTCTGGGAGGATCCTTGCAGTTTGGGGAAACCAGAGAAAAAATTAAGTGATCACAGAAAACCATAGGTTCTTCTGCTTTCATTATTAGATCGAGAGATAAGTATATTGAAAAAACCTCTTTTATGTACATAAAGGCATAGCTTCGCCAATTCGAGATACGATAGTCAGACGATATTTGACTGATAACAAAGGCTTCGCAGCCAAACGTTTAGTTGTCTCCTAAGATAGCCTTTCTGAGTATAGTACTTAACAAACTTGACAATTTTTTTTGAGACACTGTTTATTTGAACTCTTTTTAGACCGGGCTTTCTTAATTACTAGAGTTCTTAGAAGCGGACGGGGTACTGCCCTCGCTGTAATCAACTATTGAGGCTTTAACAGACAAACGTGGAAGGTAACAGCGATTCAAAAAGGTGTCTAAGATAAAAGTTTACACGTCAAGACAACATTATACGCCTTGCAAAATTGCCGCCATGACTAAATAGGTGGTCATCTTAGACCTGTCATTCTAGGATCAGCAGTCCTAGGTTTTCGTCACTAAGAAAACAGCCTCAACTCTGGAAAAATTAATTTACAAAAGAATGAAAGACGCCAAAGTGATCTGAATTTGTGAGAAAAGTATAGATTCTTTAGGTTCAACATGGAAACATCACATCCAAAACAGCAATCGTATAGACAAAAAATTGGCGCGACAAATCTCTTGGAGAGTTTAAGGGGAATTGAGCCATGGTCATATAACTGTTCATGTAAAGATTAGGCCAATGCTCGTCAAAACCATCCGCGAGTTTTGATGTTTAATAAGGCATCAGCTTTAAAATGGTATAACGACGCCGGCGAAGCTGATAATGATTCTGCAGTATATTCTGATCACAAACTAATTCTTTTTTTAGGGTTCAATTTCCAACATCAGTGCCATATATTGAAGGATATATATAATTCCTTACTAATTTTGACTGAGTCCATTTTACCCAATTAAACTCACTCTAAGAATATTGCTTTTTCTTTTCATTTTTCTTAGGCGCGTAAAATGTAAAATAAAGCCGAAGATAAACAATTTAGGCAGGTGTTATAGAGCCATAAAGAAACCGGATAACCAAAGCGAATTGTTTTCGTATTACTTCAAGAAGAGTGAAGAAAAGGAAGAAAAAAATTAAAAGGAAGCAGGAGATAACTGCTTCAAATTTGCTCCTAGAAAAAGAAGCTAGATAAACCGAGCGTGCTTGTTGGTAAGTAACGTTGAAAGCTTTTCACCTGTTAGAGTTAATCATGAAGCTTTCTCAGGGACCGCGGAGAGCATTTTAAGGTGGTGGGGCTAAAAACTCTGGCCAATATAAAGAAACATTCAGGTCGGTGTTTCGCCATTTATCTTGCATTTGCGCGCCACCTTATTGACCACCTCAACAAATATAACATAAACGTCCACACGTGTTATACTATCCAATATAGCCAATATGTTAAATAAACCTCCTGAGGTTGCTACTTTTTGAAGTTGCCCGAAGTGCCGAAGCTTCTCTTGCGATTCTTATTGCAGGAAACAAACTCCTGTGTAGCTATAGAGACACTGTCTATTCTCCGCTTGTGACCATTCAACACTGCTAGGTCACCCATCCTGGATAGAAGCCACGTCTTCAGACGCCGTGCAGATGAGAATGAACGCTCGTCAACAGCGCTGGTTGCAGGATTTACAGCAGGCAGCTTACAGATAGTTTGAGCTTTGTCTTGGTTTTGGAAACTTTGACACCGCCAACAGGATTTCGTCAAAACATGCTATCTTCTCCTATAACATAACTTCCAAGATACTTAGTAGCATGCCCAGGTAGCGCCCCTGTATCAACATCTTCTCTGTATGATGCTTCAAGACTTGAACACTGCCTCATAGTCGTCACCATTAGCAGCTTTAATCAAGAGGGTCTCCATCTGGGCGTAGGAGCTGGAGCTTTCCTGATAGATAGCCCTGACGATAAGATCAACAGCCTCATCATAGACCCCTCTAAAGTGATCTTTGGCAGTTTAAAGGTAGCTTGGTGCACCAGCACCAGCCTCCAGTCTGGCCGAAGTGCATCGCTCTCAGTGGAAGCGTTGGTTTACCAAGCAGGCCTTCGCTCTTGCGCGAAATATTAGCATAGAAATGGTCGAAGCTTTGATCACTGGGCATTTTTTTGAGCGTCTCCTTTGTTAGATATGCCAATGTCAGGCCTTGTCCACTGACAGCAGCCACCTTGGTACCCTTAAGATCCTTAGATAGATTATCGGTGTGGGAATGAAGCCGCCCTCCAAGATGCAAACCAAAGAAGAAGTCAAATCGTTCCATTTAGGTCTCACATCCTATTATCCTTCCACGCACATCGGGTTGTAATCGTTCGGACAAGCAAACATCCCACTCTTCCATAAGAACTGCATAGCTCTCAAGGATTCGTCGAAAACAACTGGCTCTAACCGTCCACCTTTTAGAGAAAAGTCCAATAATTCCACGATAACTTTTTCCATGTCAACTGGAGCCCTAGAAAATAAATCCCAGCAAAAAAGTGGTAGGGCTATAGCCCTACCAGCCCTTCCCCCTGCGGTCCCTGTCGGTTACTGTTTATTACCCCTGGTTCTAAAACTTTAATTGTAACCATAAATATAGGACCCCTCCTCTGACAGGATGACCTGACCCTTTGAAATGATATACGTTTCTAGTGTAAGAGCTATCAATTGTTGCACTAACCTGAGGTATGCATGAGATATCATGTTATAAAAATAATGTGCTTCTGTCCAATGCAAGCACAAACCTCAGCACCAAGGAAGTACCTTATTTTCCGCCTGCCTGTTGCATTTAATAGAAGAACAAAGAAATAATAAAAACAGTTAGGTATGGAGAAAACATTAAGGCGCCTTTGGAAGTCCACGCCTGGATCTGCACTAGTAATAACGCATATTTAGTGATCTTAAACTAAAATATATTTGAGAATTTCTTCACAAAACTCGTGTGACCATTCAAATTAAAGCCATAGAGCAACACTTTAATTACTCTGTTCCAAGCATGCATTAATTCAGACAGTAAGGACGATGCAAACTAAGAGAAGTGAGTAAGAAAAACCAACAAGGGTGGAGGGTGGTAGAAGAGAGGGAGAAAGGACGCTGTTTCCTCCTCCGCTCTCTCTCTCTCAGCTCTCTTTCACTTCCTACGTTAACTACACCGACTACCCTAATAGACTACATTAACTACAACGACTGCATTGACCACACCGGCCACACCTAGCCTACTACACCAACTACGCTGACAGATACCGACTTCACGGACTACACTGACTACACCAACCATACCTACTAAACCAACTACACTGGCTAAATTGCCATTCCGATTACATTGACTACATCAACTATACTGACTACTCTAATATTATCAGATTACTGGCATAATTTTAAACTTGAGTGCCAGTGCTTCTGCAGTGTGAATTCGTGACGGTAGTCATGGACTGATTTACAGCAGAAATTTAATACAGCAGAGCCTCCGGAGTATGTGGCCGACCAAAATACGAGAATCAGAGAAAACACGGTCTGAAAACTGCACATAAGTGAAAGCAAGACATATAAGTGAAGACAAGCGCGTATATAGCTGACGAAAAGTGTTGAAAAGTAACGAGAAGTGCACACTGATGAAGAGACAAAGGTGTATAGGTGAATGAAAGTGCGTATAAGTGAAAAAGAGAGTCTACGTTTGAAGTCAGGCGTACATAACCGAAGGAAAGTGCACAAAGGTGAGGGTAAAGCATATGGGTGAGGCAAGTGCATATAGGTGAAACCAAGCGTATATAAGTAAACTCAAGCGCTTATAGATGAAAGCAAGTGCATTGAAGACTATTATGTGATGGCGAGTTCATATTGATGAAGACAAGCTCAATTATAGCCTGTGTGCAGACGCCCCCTCCCCTCAGAAAAAATTCTGATCTTTTTGTCAGAGTAGGAGGCATCTCTACACAGTCAAGTACAATTAGTGAAGGCAACTGAGGCGAAGGCGAGGACGTATAAGTAAGGTTAAAAACATTTAAGTTAAGCTGAGTGAATATAGGTGAAGTTAAGTGAATTATGCAAGTGAATGTTGGTAAAGTCTATCATCCTATGTGTCAAAAAGTGGCCGCGGTTGCCTATGAGAAGTGGTCGTTTAACAGCCGAGAGGTTCCAGCAATAGTGCTTTTGTCTTTAGTTTGGAAGATGTGGTCTCCTATGATATGTGCTAGCACATGGAGATTCGACTGTAACAGTCCTCACGTACTCTCTTCCTCTACAATAATACAGAAATCCCTGTGATGGAGAACCTTTCCTTTGGTTTCTTTTCACAGGAAGAGCGTTTTAAGAGATTATAAATAAGCATTGCAAACGTTATTAACTATAACACTAACGTGAGGTATGAGAGATCCAAAGTCATCACAAACCTCCACATTAGCCTTATTTCTCGTTAGTTACAATGGAAGAAGAACAAAGAAAAAATACAGTCTGATAAGAATTAAATAAGACGCTTACTATTCACGGACCACTCTATAATGCTTGTTAGTAAGTAGCTACATACTTGTGACCATTTAAATGTAAGCCACTGAGCAGCACTTTTCTGTGATTCTGTCTATGTTATACTGTATATGTTTTCAACTTCCCTGTATCTGGATAAGGCCCGTACCGGTCTGACCATTTTTATTTGCCTTTTAAGAGCTGTTACCGAACTGAAGTGTTGTGGCGTAGCTTATCATTGCACAGCCTGTAAAAGAAGGTTCTGATCGACGTACGAAAATGTTGGGCCTTAAGCGTGTGTTACTCAAAATAATGGAAGCGATCCAACAAGTAGTGCTTTAATGTGGCGGATCAGTTTTCTAATGCCGTATGTATACAATGTGCTTTTTAACCTTGTGGTCCTTAGGTAGCACCGCTCTCCGTAGTGTGCTTTCAGAAGCAGAAGCGTCTGTCGTCTGAGGATTTCACCCTTCCACTCAATGAAAAAAACTCTTCAACGACTATAAATGATCACTATTAAAGCAATTGACTCTCACCCTCTAACCTGAAATATAAGAGATTTCTGCATCTGTTCTCTGTGACTAATGCAATCACACGTTGGTATGAATCGAGGTCGTTGATAATGTTAACCACCTGAAAAGAAAAAAAATATTACGATAAGCACGTGATAGGGCTTAAGTAATCATAACGTGTACGTAACTAAGGATCTGAAGTCAAACTCATCATCATCATCATCATTTCTCGACTCCTTAACTGGTGACTCCACTACTTGAGGGCACTTGTAGGTTCCCCTAATTGTCTCCAAGAAGACGTTTAGTTTACTGTAGATAAAAAGGTTTTGGCTTGCAGGTCCAAATTTTCCTGCGTTTAGGCGAGTACAAAACTTAAAGTTGACCTGCTCTATAATTTCGACACCCCTTTATTTTGAACAACTCTTTTGGCCCTGATGTTACCGCACTTTTACAATCCATACGTCTTTAATACAATACGTCTGTATAATGAACAGTTCTGGGTCCTTCTCTTTGTTATCGTTTCAAAGACAGATTATTTTAAAGAATGTGAATTGCCATTCCAAAGGGTAGTAACTGTGACACTAACGTGACAGTGCTGTTTGTGTCTAAAGCAAGCCGGAAGAGACCTTCAAGTCAGTGTATGACCATATTTCGCCTCTGTCAGTAAAGAAACTGAAAACCATATACATGTACACTCAGATAGTTTAACCTAACCACAGACAGTGAAAAGTCTATTTATTGTAAAGAGTTACAATTTCATAACGAAGAGACTGAAGCCCCTTGTCTGTGCAATTCAACATAGTTTACCCCCCCCCGACCACAAAGTGCAATGACGCAGGGTTGTTATCTGAAATTCAGACACCGAAATGTAAGCAAAAAAACGAGGCTTAGCAGATCGATTTGCGCAATAAAAACATTTTTTGGGACATGTTCTACCATTTATCTAAATGGAAATTGTTATTAGTGACAGCTGTAAAACGAAGATTTTTGCCTGTATCTTGTTTTTATTTATGTCTACGTTCGGTACAACCATTCTGTCCTTACAATACAGGGACCAAGGAGCAAGACTCAGAGTTGGGGGAAACTATAAGGGTAAGCACAGTAGGGGGGGCGGTGGGGGGTGGATTTAGCGGGCAATCTCTCTCTCAGAAAATTTTGAAATTTGCTAGGCTCCCTGACGCGGGTAGAAATGCATATAAAACTATTATCCTCTAATAGTGGTAATGCACTAATCTAAAATTCGAAATAAAAAGAATAGAAAGAACAAAAAAAATTCCCGAAGAGGTCAGCAAATGAATGAAAAATTTAAAACTGAAGTAGTTTCGAAAGTTATGAATCTGATACTCTAAAAAAAACCATTATAGCAATTTTTTGAGACCATCTCAACAAGTGGGAAGATAGGCTAAAGTCCGCACAACCCTTCCCGAGGTCCCTTTAACAACCTTTTTCGAACGGAGTTTCTTTTAAAATCTTGTAAATCACTCGCCTTCGGCTCGTGATTTGCAAGCTTTCCTCGTGTTCTCCCAACATCCCGTGTGGGTTATCACGCCGGTAAATCCATAGAAAGTATGGTCTAATGCTTAAATAAACTTCGAAGGTCGAGCTCCTTGAGTTCACGTTTAAAAAATGCGGTAGTTATCGATATTTCTTAAATTATTACTAATAGTGTTCCATAGTCGGGCAGCCTGGTATCTCCGATCAATGACTTGATCCCATACTTTGTAGAATTTACTTTAAATAATTTTAAAATAGCATTACCACGTAAATTATAATTAGAATTATGTGCCGTCAATAACTCGCAAATACTTGTAGGTGCGTTTCCCTTCCCAATTGTTCCAAACACTGTATTTAACATTTTTGCAAGTCTTTGATTTGCTAATGTTCTATATCCATTTTTAACAACTAGTGTCTCATAAGTAGAGATTTTATCCTGGTAAACGAAGAGGAGTGCGCGCTCGTTCAGTTTTTCGAGTTTTTCTGCTAAGCGTTTACTGCAGAAATACCAAGACTCGGCACAATAATAAAAATGTGGGGCAATAAATGCTCTATAAAGTTTCCTGTAGCTTTAAAGGAAGCAACTTCTACATCCTCTTCAAAAGGAACCATAACCCCATACAAATAGTTTAATGTGAATAGAGTCGAAACATGTATGCATAGTAAATATGTATATGGGATTATACGGAAATCTTACCAACTATTTCAATTTTTTACATGTCTCTCAACAGGACACTGAGAAGAGAACCTACCTTGCTTTTTAACGCTTAAACTGTAGGGCAAGCCACAGATAAATTCGTGGAGTTTCAAACAACAACAGTAATAATTAATAATAATGACTTTTTACACGGGTTGAAAAATTGGATTTACCGCACTTTTGACGCGCATCTGAAGGTAAAGTCAAATATGGTTTTGACTTCACCTTTGATGCGCGTCAAAGATAAAGTCAAATGCATCAACGCCTTGCTATTTCTTTAACGCTAGTCAAGGGCGTTGTCAAATATGCTGGTAACCTTGACTTCGCCTTTGACGCTCGGTAAATCCATGTTTTCGTCCCGTGTTAAAGAACGTCCACAGGGGAGTGGGGAGAGGGAACTTAAGAGCCCAACACACACCTCCCCGTACATTTCGTGCCTAATATCCTCTTGGATAGTCTGAAGCAAAACATGGGCACATATTTCGAGCCATCTCCCTGACCTAGCCATCATCATCGCGTTAAATTGTCAATCCAGGTTTCTAAATAAGAATTTATCTTACTTCAAACGTTTATTCTTTCTTGCTCACCAGGTTGCCGAACCAGCTAAGCATAACATGTGCTGATTAAGTATTGAACTAAAAATTGACTTTCAAGCCTTGGAAACTAAATATGCTAATTTGTTTATAGTTAGACTTACCTTTAACCACGGCGGTTGTTTTCTTGAGAGTTTTCTTAAGATTTAGAAGAAGAAACAAATCTTCAAATCGGCGAGTTGTTCGGCTTGGTGCAAAATAATTCATAAATTTTTGCATAAATTACAGGCGACGACTTCACCATTATGAATATTAAAAAATAGCACGCTTGCGACAAGCCAATGCGGACAGGAGAACAAAAGAATCAGGCGAGGTCCATAATTCAAATGTGTTTTAAGAAATTTTTCTACAATCTTTTATTAGCGAGGGGTTTTTCCCGAAAAGTAAGGCAGCTTATAGACTGCAAAACAGGCGGTTTTCTTCTCAAAATCAGTAAAGAAATCGGTAAAGCGTGGCGTAAGAGTCTTACGCGCGCGAAGCGCGCGAGTCTCACACGCCCGTCGGGCGGGTAAGGTTCGCTCTCTGTTTTCAGCCTCGTTCCAGACCTTTTGTTTGACTGCTCGCGCGTTAAATACGCAAAAATACGGACTGTTTTGCAGCCTAGGCTCATGATCTTATCTTACTTTTTAAAGTGCCAGATCAGAGACAGGAGAAGTTACCTTCCAACCCTAGAAAAAAGAAGCGATTTAGAAAGGAATTTTCGAGTTTCATGTAATTTAAAAACTGAAATCAGTCTTACTGAGAGAAACTAGTACATACCTAAGCGAACGGTTACTTCTGAAGATGTAATAATAATAATAATAATAATAATAATAATAATTATAATTATAATTATAATAACAGCGGTTGTTATTAGGCATTAATTCGTGATTTCGCGTCCCCCTTGATGCCTTTACAAAAATGTCTAAAATGTTAGTAAATTAAATGGTACTAATATTAAATGTACATGAAATTATCTATGTTTATCTGAAATAATTTTTATAATAATAAAGAATAATGATAGAGAAAAATCAAAATAAAATAATATTAAACTTGTTCTATGGTCCGTAACAGGCAACTGACAAAATGTCTGTTTGAACAGGAATGCGTGTACGGGGCGCTCAGTGCTCCTTTGATCTAAGTATTTCCTAATCCTACCTATATTTCGCAGTCCAAGAGATGCTGAGCTGCAACTACTGTTGACGTGGCTTGACATCGTGAGGTGGCTATCAAAAATGACTCCCAGATTACGAGCTTTGTTACTGATAGGTACATAATGCTGACTTAATTTAATACTAGAATAAGAAAGGGGATGGGAGAACCGTGAATGAAAATGAACTATTTCAGTTTTCTTAGGATTGCAACTAAGCATATTATCTGCAAAAAATGCTTGAACATCACGCAGGTGTTGTTCGAGATTAGTAATAGTGGTATGGCTATCTTCTGGATTTACAGTTATGTAAACTTGGGAGTCATCGGCGTACATCATGCAATTGTGGCCGTAGGATTCTATAACGGTCTCTGAGTGGAGAAAAATATAGTATGAATAGCAGGGGTTCCAGAACAGACCCCTGTACGTTGGAACATACGAAACGTCAAGTTATATAACGTGCGAAATGCGTTTATATTTCCTTTAGACCCAAGTCAAATTTAGACGGATCAGAGCACAACTGGGCTAATATCTCAGAGACAGTTTCCTCCGAAATGCTAATTTTTCACAAGTAGGGGTCTTGGACACTGTTCTTTCAGAATATCGTGACCAAGTTCCATAATTTCAATTTTTATGACGTCATCACTTTAGAACTCTATTAAAGAATGATTATATTTTGTTTGCCGCCGGTAATGAGTGAAATGTGTGTATGTGTTTTTTTTTTCTATTTTTCCCGAAAGAAAGTCTAATCATATCGCTTGATATTTTTCTTTCAGAGTCCCTAGAGGGGAAACGTTATATTCAGTTCAGCTTCGACACAAAAACGTGGAACTCACCGCAAATAATCAGATTCAAAGCAAATTTAGCCCACTCAAACGTCAATGTTTCTCAGCAACACGTAAACAAAGCAACATTCCGGAAAAAAGGATTAAAGGATATATTAATTAATAATCAGGCCTGATTAACAATATATACTCCTTACCTTTAGAAGCACGTTGTGGCACTGGTCGGCACGAACAAAATGAAATTAACTGCTCGAGAAGTATTTTGGCTAATAATTTTCTTAGCATTCCTTTATTATATTTATAGAAACCTACAGTTGACCAGTTTGGTGTCTAGAATGGGGAATAGACTTGTGAATTGCAAAAGAAGCGCTAAGGAGATTCAACAATTAGTGGACGTAGCACATGAGGTGCATAATGCACTTGACGAACTTGGAATTAAACACTGGTTGATGTTTAAATCACTTTGGGGTATTCACAGAAAACTCTACAATCCACTTCCTTGGGATGACGATGTAGATATGGGGCTCTCTGGAGATGATATCCGCTATCAGAGTCTGTCTCGTAAGAAATTTCTGTCAGCCTTTACAGCCAAGGGTTTTACATTAAAAGGGAAACTGGACCAAAATGGTATTATGGCTATATACAACCAACAGATATGTCCTTTCGGCTGGATCGATATCTACATCTTTTATGACTACCGTAATATTATAGTGATAGATTAATATAAAAAAGGAATCCTTTCTGTCAAATTTACTTCCTTGCTTTGCGCGCTCTCTCTTTCCTCTTCTAAATCACTGCATCAGATTCTACCGGCCGATAATACACTTTTTTAAAGTACTGAAAACAACATTTTTGTATCTCCGAAAAGGAATGTGTATATTTCAAACTTTAGTATCCTTTAGTGAAATAATACACTATATCAAAAACAAGTATTTGGCATCGAATATGCTGGAATTAACAACAATTTCGAACATAACGTGAAGCGAACCGTGCGTTCCATTTTTACACAGAGAGTGAAAGCCTATGTGAAATTCGACTGTATTGAGAAAAAATGTAGTTTTATACAAAAAAATATTCTTCAAACGACGGCGACAACATGCAGTCACAATTCTTTTCATAACTTTTAATATTTTCCCGCGAGAAGAACTGCGAAGACCAGTATGACGACAAAGACAATTTCATATCCTAGGAGCGTTACGTGACGACACTGAAAACGGCTGTGTAGCAGACTAAGTGTTGCCTTGTGCAAAAACAAACCTCGAGGACAACCGCAACTAGTGAAACTGACGATTTTCATGAAACTTGATTTACTTGCGGAACCGTCCCACAGTTTCACACTAAAGGAAGCTAAAGGAGCGTCTAGACCGCAATGGCATTCTGGGTATATTCAATGAAAGAATATGTCCCTCCAGCTAGAATACTACGGCTAGAATCTACTGTTGTAAATCACCGATGAAATCATTGGGCGGCATTTTTGAGCGCAAGCAATGCTTACACATTGCAAGGCGAACCAGACGGAAATTTCAACTTCACTTTGAGCCTCCATGTTGAAAACACCACATGCAGTGTATTAAGGGTCCGCAATGGTTAATGGGATTTTCCAACTGGGAGCAAAGGCGGAAAAATCGTAAAAAAAAAAAAAAACATGCGATCAGACGTGACTATACTCACGACTGTCATGAGCCACAGAGTAAACGTCTGTCAATTATACCCGGACCTATATCCTTTACCTCGCAACTGCGAAAAATGGCGTACCCAGCTAAGCCATACTATAACCTCACGCATGACCAACCCCACCCCACACGCACACACACACACACACATTTTATTTGTATTTTATAAAGATTGAAGTACAATTATAACATGTCCGTGGGTGGCTATGCTAATTTAGAAAGGCCATGTTCTCAGGAAATAAATACAGCTAAAAGTAACAAGAGACCTTAAAAAAGCTACAATTGACATAATAACTAGAGACTACTAATGCAATATTAATAATGACAACACAGTTATGACTCGCTAAACGGCATTAATTAGATTACAACCACCAGTTAATAAGAGGAAAATAAATTCAACTTAACTTTTTGGACGATTTCTGAGGGATCAGAACCCCTAAAAACGTCTGCGGGGGAGGTTAGCTAAGCCAGGAGTTCTACACATACAATAACATGAGGCTGACTGTTCGGAAATCATTGTGGCTGTTAAGTTTCTTAATCGTTTTTTATTATACATATAGAAACCTACAAGCGCCCAGTATGGTTTCCAGAGCGGGCAACAGACCTGTGAATTGTAAAAAAAGCGCTCAGGAGATTCAACAATTAGTGGACTTAGCACATGAGGTGCATAATGTACTTGATGAACTTGGAATTAAACACTGGTTGATGTTTGGATCACTTTGGGGTATTCAAAGAAAAATCTATAATCCACTTCCTTGGGATGACGATGTAGATATGGGGCTCTCTGGAGACGATGTTCACTATCAGAGTCTGTCTCGGGAGAAATTTCTCTCCGCTTTCACAGCCAAGGGTTTTACGTTAAAAGAGCGTCTGGATCGAAATGGCATTGTTGGTATATTCAATCAAAACATATGTCCTTTCGGCTGGGTTGATGTCTTCATATTTTATGATTACCGAGGTACTATGAAACGAACAGGATGGGAAACATGGCTGGCACCGATTAACTACAATCTTTATTTTTCTTTCCCCTCAAGTGCTGTAGAGGGGTTATTACCCAAGGCTCGATTTGGTGATTTTGATATGTACGTGCCCAAAGATATCCTGCTTGTGCTTAAAAGTATATATCCTTTTAATTGGTGGGTTGTAGACAAACCAAGAAACTGTATAAACAAATAGAAGATTTGAGAATGAAGTAGATTTGCAGAGAATGCGAAAAGCAACATATCAATTCAGTGACGTGAAGAAACCAATATTGTGAAAGGAGTTTTGGCCGAATGAACGTGATAAGTATGTCTGTGGCTAGAATGCACTGGTATTATGGCTATATACAACCAACAGATATGTCCTTTCGGCTGGGTCGATATCTACATCTTTTATGATTATTGGGTACTATGAAGCGAAAAGGCTGGGAAACATGGCTCGTACCTATCAACTATAATCTTTACTCTTCCTTTCCCTCGCGGGCTGTGGAGGGGTCTCTACCCAAGGCTCGATTTGGTGATTTTGACATGTTCGTACCCAAAGATATACTGCTTGTTCTTAAAAGTGTATATCCTTTCAGTTGGTGGGTTGTAGAAAAACCACGAAACTGTATAAACCAATAGATTACAGTAAAAACCCACCAGAACTGCATTTTCCCGAGTAAGCCTAAACAGGTTCTTACATAAATCTGATGGCAATTACCAAAAAAGTTAGGATATTGTTTTCACTAAAAGGAAAAATTCTGTAGAAAAACTCCTTTCTTCCAATAGTTTGACCTTTCCAGATCTGAATATTATAGTGATAGATTAATATAAACAAGGAATCCTTTGTGGCAAATTTACTTCCTGGCTTTGCGCGCTCACTCTTTCCTCTTCTAAAACACTGCATCAAATTCTACCGGCCGATAATAGACTTTTTTTATTGTACGGAACACAACATTTTTGTATCTCCGAAAAGGAATGCCTATATTTCAAACTTTAGTATCCTTTAGTGAAATAATACACTATATCAGAAACAAGTATTTGGCATCGGATATACTGGAATTAACAACAACTACGAACATAATGTGAAGCGAACCGTGCGTTCCATTTTTACACAAAGAGTGGAAGCCTATGTGAAAATCGACTGTATTGAGAAAAAGTGTAGCTTTATACCAAAAAATATTCTTCAAACGATGGCGAGAACATGCAGTCACAATTCTTTTCATAACTCTCAATATTTTCTCGCGAGAAGAACTGCAAAGACCAGTATGACGACAAAGGCAATTTCATATCCTAGTGTTGCCTTGTGCAAAAACAAACCTCGAGGACAACCGCAGCTAGTGAAACTGACGATTTTCATGAAACTAGTTTTACTTGCGGAACCGTTTCACAGTTTCACACTAAAGGAGCGTCTAGACCGCAATGGCATTTTGGGTATATTCAATGAAAGAACATGTCTCTCAAGATAGAATACTACGGCTAGAATCTACTGTTGTAAATCACCGATGAAATCATTGGGCGGCATTTTTAAGCGCAAGCAATGCTTACACTTTGCTAGACGAACCAGACGGAAATTTCAACTGCACTTTGAGCCTCCGTGTTGAAAACACCACATGCAGTGTATTAAGGGTCCGCAATGGTTAATGGGATTTTTCAACTGCGAGCAAAGGCGGAAAATCGATCAGACGTGACTCGACTCATGAGTTTCATGAGCCCCATAGTAAACGTCTGTCAATTATACTCGGACCTATATTCTTTACCTCGCAACTGCGAAAAATGGCGTACCCAGCTAAGCCATACTATAACCTAACGCATGACCAACCCCACCCCACACACACACACATTCTATTTGTATTTTATAAAGACTGAAATACAATTGTAACATGTCCGTGGGTGGCTATGCTAATTTAGACGGGTCATGCTCTCAGGAACTAAATACAGCTAAAAGTAACAAGAGACCTTAAAAAAAAGTTACAATTGACATAATAACTAGAGACTACTAATGCAATATTAATAATGACAACACAGTTATGACTCGCTAAACGTCATTAATCAGATTACAACCACCAGTTACTGAGAGGAAAATAAATTCAACTCAACTTTTTGGACGATTTCTGGGAGATCAGAACCCCTAAGAACGTCTGCGGGGGAGGTTAGCTAAGCCAGGAGTTCTACACATTCAAAAACATGAGGCTGACTGTTCGGAAATCATTGTGGCTGTTAAGTTTCTTAATCTTTTTTTATTATACATACAGAAACCTACAAGCGCCCAGTATGGTATCCAGAGCGGGCAACAGACCTAGGAATTGTAAAAAAAGCGCCAAGGAGATTCAACAGTTAGTGGACTTAGCACATGAGGTGCATAATGTACTTGATGAACTTGGAATTAAACACTGGTTGATGTTTGGATCACTTTGGGGTATTCAAAGAAAAATCTATAATCCACTTCCTTGGGATGACGATGTAGA